TGTGAGTGAGTGAGTGTGTGAGTGAGTGAGTGTGTGAGTGAGTGAGTGAGTGAGTGAGTGTGTGTGTGTGTGTGTGTGTGAGTGAGTGAGTGAGTGAGTGAGTGAGTGTGTGTGTGTGTGTGTGTGTGTGTGTGTGTGTGTGTGTGTGTGTGTGTGTGTGTGTGTGTGTGTGTGTGTGTGTGTGTGTTAGCAGTTAAACCATTACCCTTACAGGCTCATATGTTGGATAGTTACCTTAATTTCATGTAATAATATAAATTCAGTGTAATGTACATATATATGACCAATAAGAACAATAGGTGTGTCCGTGCGTGTTAGAACAATTACTTAAACTTTATTTTGATCAACTGTTTTGTTTATTTTTAAGTACTTTTAACCAATATGCTTGAGAAATGATTATTCTGTGCATGGATGTCAACTGCTGCTTTTTCCTCCCACAGCGTGATCCAGACAGTGCTAGTCATCACGGCAGTTACATCTTGGCTCTTGTGAGTTCCGTCCATTTTTATTTATAAGTATATATTATTCCAAGTAAATATCTACTATAAATACTAACATGAAGTGAGTCTGTAAATTTAGCACAGTAAAGATGAATGAAAGCTATGTTGACTACTTCTTCTTTTATAGGGTCTTAGACTTTTGAAAACCATTTTCACTTATCAGAATGGCTATAAGATTTTAGCAATTCAAACTAGCATCTCATTAAGCAGTATTACTTATACCAGCCTGTTGTTTACTTCTTCCAGTTGGTTGCTGTGTTATTTGCACCAAATGAATCCTCTCATAGGACCGCAGTTACACAACACAACCATCCTGGCCATTCGGTATCTCTGGGTAAGTCAGCTGATTTATTTATTTATTTATTTATTTATTTATTTATTTATTTTTTATTTATTTTTTTTTTTTTACTGAATGAAGTATAGTGTGTTTATGTTGTTTTTACTCTTTAGTATTCAGAGTGCTCTGTGAAGTCTGTGAGGTGATTGATGTGGTGGGTAAAGTTGGCAGAATAATATGAAAGTTGACTTTGGAGCATATATTGAGGGGAAAAAAAAGACTCGCATTAGGTTGCCTTGTGAAACTAGCTTGACTCTTGCACGCCGCATTGCAGGATGGGACCTTGAGCCTCGATGACTTCAATGAAACAACAACAACAAGCACCATGGAGACATCAACAGCAGCACACATCTAACAACCAAGACCCAAGGAAGGAGCTGATATAACCCCTCCCCCCCCTCTCCCCCCAACACCCAGGAAATCCCCAAGCTTGGAATCCAACAGCGACTCTCATTTTAGCCTGGGATTGCTGTTCCAATTCTCCCGTCTTTCAAATTCGGCTCGTGGTCATTATTCTCCTTCGTCCCTTTTAGTGCTAAGATATGTAAATGCTATTTATATCATTACTTAAAGGTGATATGTTGCTGTGCGATGGAGGCCTTATGATGTATATGTAGTCTTGTGTGTACATATTGAAAGAGAGTCACAAAATTCTAGCAGTATATCTTTTTAATAAAATTGTTTGTGAATGCTATTGAAATAATACATGTTCTAGTTTTTTTTTTTTCAGGAAATCCCCAAGCTTGGAATCCAACAGCGACTCTCATTTTAGCCTGGGATTGCTGTTCCAATTCTCCCGTCTTTCAAATTCGGCTCGTGGTCATTATTCTCCTTCGTCCCTTTTAGTGCTAAGATATGTAAATGCTATTTATATCATTACTTAAAGGTGATATGTTGCTGTGCGATGGAGGCCTTATGATGTATATGTAGTCTTGTGTGTACATATTGAAAGAGAGTCACAAAATTCTAGCAATATATCTTTTTAATAAAATTGTTTGTGAATGCTATTGAAATAATACATATTCTATTTTTTTTTTTTATAAACATTCATTCTTATGCCTGAAAATTCTAAACCTGTATCCCTTCTTGACTCTCGGTCATGTCCATTTGTTAATATTGATGTATATACATATAATTTTAAATGGTGCTTCATAAACAGCATTTGTTAAAGGTTATCTCCTCATCAACAGCCTGTTGTCAGTCTCTCTAACATCTGTATGTAAGCAATTACTACACACTGTGAGTCTGTTTAAATGTAAAAGACAGCTTGATAGGAGGTAACACAATGCACAACATTCCAGTTCTGGCAAGTTGCTAATTTGAAGAATATATTTTGTAAAATGGTATTGGTGTTTTAGTCTTGTTCATAATTGTAAAATACATGATGAATTATTCAGTGTAGTCCTTCCTTTACCCTTAGGGAGACCATTTTTTTTCTCTAATGTTTTTAACACATCTTTGGTGTTATTTCTCGCTAAGGACAAGTAATGATTTAACACTACCATGTAACCCCATAAAACAACATTTAATTGGATGACTCGTTACACATGTCATACAGCAGTAGTACCTCAAAAATATATTTTTCTTTTCTTTTAACCAAAGCGCTCTTATAACTGAGAAGCTCCACTGGCATTACTGAAGTGGAAAGTACAGAAGAGTGTATACAACACACAAAATATTCTAGTAGCAATAATATTCATAAATGTTGAATCAAATACAAGATTAAAAAAGAAGATATATATATGATTTTAATGTTATTACAGATCTCTCCAACATTGTAATCCTGCAAAATGTACATAACTAACAATATGATTACACGATCACATTGCATCTTCATTCATTAAGGAACAAATTCAATTATATACGTAAACACACTTCACAAGCTGTAATAGGTGAATAAAAATTAGTTCCAAAATTTGAACATGCGGCCAGAATTTGCAATTCAAAGTCATATAAACATCGCTCACTTTAGAAACTCGTTCAATTCAAAGGCTACTCCTGTGGAATAAACTGCTTTACAAATTCTTTCAGGAAAACCTAACTTAAGGCGTAGCCACATCCTGTTTGTCTTCAATAATGACAACGAAAACAATAAAATACATGTGTAAATATCCCCTCCCCCCCCAATACCGTACGTCTTGTCCTGGGGGACTTAGGAGACAGAGACTGAGGCCTAATGTTAGGGATCAGCCCTGCCTTGGACCTCAGACCTCGGCTCCACTCACTTCACGTGGTCTTTTCTTCTCCCCCTTTCCTTTTCTTTTCTCTTCTTCATCTCCTTCTGTCCACTTATCCTATGTGTTAACTCCTTTTTATCCTTTTCACCATAAGACTTTATCATAGTGTTACATGACCTTTGATGTCTCGCACATTATCTGTTATAGCCATTAACCCATAGGTGTAAATATGAAGTTTCAAAAAAATAGTATTCTGACCCTGGAAGGCTATAATTCCTGCTCAATTTGAAAAAAAAAAAAAAAATAAAAATAATAATAATAATAATAATAAAATAAATAAAAATAATAATAAAAAAATATATATGAAAGTACAGAAATATAAGTACAAATTCACCCACAAGAATATTTCTCGGCTAATCTTCAAATCCAGTAAACACTAAATGTGTATACGCCAGACTCTATGCAGCTTGCCCCACCCTGTGCTGATCTAAACCAGGCATGGTTGAAATACATGCACTTCCAATTCAAGACTAAGGTGTGTGTCGAGTTCTCTGACACAAATGGAGAGCAGGTGGCAGGGCAGAACAGGGTGAATAAAGCCCGTTCTCTGACACAAATGGAGAGCAGGTGGCAGGGCAGAACAGGGTGAATAAAGCCCGAAGTCAGTCGACCACATGTCTGCAGACATGCCCCATATATTAAAAACAAATTTTTCTCATAGCAGATCTCAATTTCACATAATCATATGTGCTACCACACAAACCAAATTAAAAGAAGCAAGTGAAATTGAGAAAACATTGGTCACAAATAAAACATATTCTGCTGCTTTTAACAGTTAAAATACATTCTCTAAAACATGCTCTTTACGGTAACCCCTACACAACATAAATTTGCCATCATGCGTGAAATGGTAACATATCCTGATTCCTCTATATACTTATAATTGCCTTACATTTCATGGTTGTGGTAAATTTCCTAATAAATGATTTTCCTGAATACATATATATATTAAAAAAAAAAAAAAAAAAAAAAAAATTAATGGCACTATATATTTTTTTCCATTATTATTCATTCTTAAATGGGGTAATCATATAAGCTTTTGGAGTCTTGACTAATATCAATATCAATACCAAGTACAAGAAATAGGTTTTACATCTAAAATGACATTTCTGTAATAAACAAAAAGTTGACAACTTAGTGAGGAAAATCAGCGAAATAGAATTTTCGGGGCTTCACAGCACATGAAAAGGTACGTGTTCACTTTTCCCCTCAATATCACATGTTTTGTATAATTACGCTTTGTATATTTTGTACTGTTGAGATTAACCCCAAAACAGAGTGCTGATTTTAATACAACAATAGATATTTACTTTGTAAGCAACAGCAAGAAACTGTCCCTTCTACAGACTAACAAGACAGTATATATGATTTTTCTCTCCTTTTTTATACTAATAAATGTAAAAGATAAAAATAGAAATAGAAAATACAAAAGAGTATGACTTGCTGAAGAAGTGAGGAAGACAGCAGAGGAATTATAAAACAGTTACAAAAAAAAAGTAAAATAAAAAATAAATTGGGAAGTAATGTCCATACTTTTACACTTAGATTGTATCAAACATTATTAAATTTATATAACCAATAAGACCGAAGTATGTAACTGCTAGGAAAAGCTCAAATAACTAACAGTAGTAATTATCCAAGAAATCAGCAGCAGATATAGATAAACATAACTGTCAGTAATTTGTTACTTCTTATGCATTTTCCCTTTTACTTTCTGGAACCAGTACCAATAGGGCTACGAGGGTACAGCAACTGGCGCTTCTTGGTATGTAAATCTAACTAATAGGTGACAGGTGAAGTGCTATCACAACATGGCAACGTCTCATCATGTCGATTGTTGATTGCCAAGTTGAGGCCTCACGATCCCTACTAAAAAGACAAATAACCATTCAATAATGTGTACTGATCAGTCTTGCCTGACTTTGCAGAAAAAAAATGAAAATAAAATAAAAGAAAAGAGAGAGAGCGAGAGAGAGAGAGAGAAAAAAAATCACCCATTATTAATGGGTTAAAATCAGTGATCAATTTTAAAGTCTAAAAGTACCTGCAGTATTTCCCAGTTCTGCAAATCATCCCCTAGAATATATATACAGCTAAAGGAACACTACCTAAACCTTTACAAAAGAACCAGATCTGGATGACATAAATGTTATTTTAAACATCCACTGTGAAAATACAACATATACAGCACAATGTATGCACATAAAAAAAAAAAAAAAAAATGAAGTGGGGTATTCATTTTTTGTTATATAAGCTATCTCCTTGCATGTCAAAAAGAAAACTTTCGTAAGAAAATATACATATAATATTTATAACCAACTACAAACTTTTGTTCAACCTAGATACAAGAATTCTAGATGGTAAAGCCTTAAAAAACTAACCTAAGTCTAGTGACTACAAATCCTATCAAGAGCAATAGAATATAAAAAGAACCAAAAATCCCTTCAGTCTCAATCATTCCCATTCCATAAAACTTCTTTTCCTTTTTTTTACATCTCAGACATAAAATTATACTATTTACTATATTCATCCAACTTTTAAAACCAAAGCCTCAAGCCTTTTATATATAAAAAAAAAAAAAAAAAAAAAAAAAAAAAAAAAAAAAAATTACCTACATAAAATGTTCACTTGTTCTTGTGTAATGGACGAATCCTTAATTTCTGTTTTGGAAGGGTTTTCTCCAGTTCCAAGGACCGCCGTGTCACTCTCTTGTCAGGGGAGCTGGTCGTGGCAGGCAGAGAATTACGTTCCTTCTTTCTTTTCTTTTTATCAAGCTTCTCCACTTTGTCAGGTTCAGTGTCATCCACGATGTCCGGTGCACTGCTCTCACTCTGAGATGTGGCGCTGGATGGCTTCTGGGTGAACTTCATGCTGTTTCTCTTCCTCGGTGACAGTCTTTGTGTATTTTCTGGGATGAAAGCAATGGGTGTTCTTGATATGTTCTCCTTGTCGTTTTCTGGACTGACGGAATCACTTGCCTCTTTGGAATTCACTTCTGCTGGAGGTGCTACCGTTCTTTCACTAGCTGAATCGATATCCATGTTATCTTTGTCTGTTATTTCTACACTATCATTGACTTTCTCTTTCACTGTCTCCTGGTCTTCTGTTATCTTAGCAGTTATTTCCACGTCACTCTCCACCTCTTCATCCCTGTAGATCAGCAAGGGTAGTTTATCATCAGACTCTACATGATCTTCCACACTGTCCTCTACTTGCATGTCTGTGCTCACTTCCATTTCCTGCTTACTTCCTCTACTTCCTTCTATTCCTCCTTCTCCTATTTCCTGTTCACTAAAAGATACATTGTTTAATTTCCTCCTCTTCATCCTTTTCCCTTCCTCCAACCTCTCCTCACCATCCTTCTTACTCATAACCTGTGGAGTCAACACTTTATTCCCCTCTGGTTCGGTATACAGTTTCCGTTTCCTCTCAAAAACGCTTCCATCTAAGAAGGGGATTTCGGGCGAGTAGGCCCTTTCCTTCTCCTCAGTCACTCTCGCAAGCACACCCCTTCGTTTTGGCTGTTTGAAGCCACCACTGTCATCAATGTCCTCCTGTACATTAGAGGTGCTTGCTCGCTCCTCTCCACCCCTTTTTCCCCTGCCTTTGCTGCTAACATTTCCTTCTGTTCTGCTCTCACTCCCCCCTCTAGTCTCCTCCTCCTCTTGTTCTCTAGTGTCCTCTGACTCCGATACACTACTTGTCTCACTGCGCTTCTTGGCCTGGCTGCTCAGTCTGACTTTGGCAAACTTGTAAACCGAGGCATTTGGTGGATGCTTATGTGTGAGCCTTAGGTTCTTGGAGCGTTCTGCAAAATGAGAAATTTCCGTTACTTTCCTGATAAGGCATGTTATCCACAGGTTTTTTATTACGTAACTTTACAAAGTTTTCTTCTTCTCATTTATGACTCTGAAAGTTAGAAAGTGATAATTGTTTTCTTTTATCTGGAGGAAAAGTATAAGTAAACGTGAACAATTACACCAATTCAAGTATTTCATTTAATTGGAGATGGATCAACTGTTTTCTCTTTATCTAAGTAAGAAACTAAATATATCATAAAAGAGTATATGACCAATTAAATCCAGTTCTATTCAGTCTGATTCAAGTCTAATATTGCTTACACTAATTATATACCTTTACAAGCAATCATTTACACATCCATATTTAATTTCTGACTCATCCCAACTGTACATAGTTTTTCTCAAACTTTTCTCTAAATATTCATGTGGATAATGGAACACGCACCGGGAAGGAGTAATTTTATTGACAAAGACCCAGGGGAAAAAATATATATTGATTTCTAGATAAAGCCTAAAAGCACATCCATAGTAGCTTTAATAAAAAGAAAAGATAATCAACTTAGCAATAGTAATAATACCTAAACAATAGTAGTAATAAACTGAACAGTAATCGTAATCATAAACACAAGAAAAGTAATCATAATCATAAATACAATAAAAGTAATTGAAAATAATAATAACAGAGACAATACATTAAAAAAAAAAACTGTAATGTTGCGGAAATGACAAGAAAATAGTACAACAAACAATCATCAACAGCTCATTCAACCGGTTTACTAAAGCTTCGAGTTCCACCTCCATTCTCGCTCTACTCACTCCCACTTTTCTTGAACTTGAGGATCTCATCGTCCGAGAGGTTGAAGCTGTGGAGATGCCTGACGATGCTCATGCGGTACCGCTCCTTGAGGCTGAGCCACGTCCGGCCTTTCAGTCCCGCCTCGCACGACGCCATCAGGGTCCACAGGCTCTTACCCCCCACCTGGTTGGAAAGAATGCTCAATCACTAGGTGTGGAAAAAGCTGATTATTAATACTATACATTACAGATACACTACAGTGACTCAAGTGTTTGCCATTGTCTATGCAGCTTCATTGCTCCAGGGCCTTTATATATACTTCTAGTGCTGAACCTATCCAACAAGTGCATACATATATAACATATATAAATTTACTCATATACACATATATACATACATACATACCTACATACATCACACACACACATACACATATATGTATATGTGTGTGTGTAAGTATAGTAAGTATATGTGTGTGTGTGTGTGTGTGTGTGTGTGTGTGTGTGTGTGTGTGTGTGTGTGTGTGTGTGTGTGTGTGTGCGTGTGTGTGTGTGCGTGCGTGCGTGCCCACGCGCATGTGTGTACACGTAATTACTTCATTCCATGCAATATCCTTGCCCTCACTGTCCTCACCTCCGAATGTCTCTTGTTTTTGATGATGAAATTCAAGATGCATAGATCTTCCTCATGTGAGTATGGCTGTCTATATATTTCACTTGCCTTAGCTCTTGGTGAATCTGAAAAAAATATATATACATACTTACATACATGCATCAAATTAGGTTATGTCTTACATGTATATGAATAGACTATTATGTGAAAAATAACATCATAATGAAACTTCCAGTAATGTATCAAAGAAAGAAAAGAAAATATTGAGAAATGACATCTCTTTTAATTTCCCACAAAACTTGGACTTCCTCACTGTCTTTTCCTTCAAAGTCCCCCCTCTTCCGCTGTTCTTTTCTTTCATTCTCTCTTTTTTCCTTCTTGTTCTTTTCACCTTTAACTGCCCCTCCACCACCACCCCCTCTACTGGGTCTACCTATCATGTCCCATGCGATGTCTACCTTTACTTTTCACCACCTACAACTCTAACTCTAACCTCTGCTACCTCATCTTCCTCTTCTACCTTTCATCTCCTTCTACACCTCCACATCCAAGTCCTCATCCACCTCTTCCTCTACCTTTTACCTTCTCCTCCACTTTCCTCTCCATGTCCATGTCCATCCATCTCCTCCTCCTCCTCTTCTTCTTCCTCTTCCTCCTCCTCTTTCTCTTCCTCCTCTACCTTTAATCTCCACCTCTATCTCCATTGCCAACTCCCTCTCTACCTCTATCTAATCCTTCTCTACCTCTTCCTTTCACCTCCCTCTCTTCCTCTATCTTCTATCTCCACCTCCCCCTTCACCTCCTTACCGTCTGCTGGCTGCGAATGTTTCTTGAACCGCTGAAGCATAGTCTTGGAGAGGCCGTAGCGCTGGTATATGTTGAGGTTGGGCACGATCCTCTTCCTGTACCTCTCCTTTAGGCTATGCCAACTACGGTCTGCAATCGGTTGTATTTTTATTAAGGACGTCATCATCATAATCATCAAAAAGTGCTATTTTCATCATTAAGATATCATCATTATTATCATTATTTTCATTTTTCATGTTCATTACTATTATCAGTTTTATAATTATCATTATTATTATCATTCTTAGCATAGGAAATGCATCATCATTAGCAAAGAGTATTTATACATATTCTTTATTTGCTATTGAATATATATTTAAATAATGATAAAAAAAGGTAATTAAAATAATCTGACTATGGGCCCCATCCCTTAACTACACGACTGCTCACACACTAAACACGAATAATAAATACACAAATAAACCTATAAATAATAATAATAATAATAATAAGAAGAAGAATAAAAAGAAAAAGAAAAAGAAAAAGAAGAAAAAAACAGAGCAACAGCCACTCACTGGGCAGGACGCCTTGCCCTTCCATTTTCTGCCAGAGCTCGCGTCCTCCCACCTGGCTGTGGGAATGGTGGTCGTCAATGTACATCAGGATCTCGACGTCCTCCTCGTGTGTGTACGGCATTTTGACTCTGGGGGAGAGATTGCAACATGAGGGCGTTGATGGTGATTGACGGTGATTGATGATGATAATGATAATGATGATGATGATGATAGTGATAATGATGATCATGATTGATACTGATGATGATGGTGATAATAATGATCGTAATTGATGATAATGATGATGATAGTGCTAATGACGATGGAGATAATGGTGATGATGATGAGAGAGAGAGAAAGAGAGATACATACCCATTACCCTTCGCAGTGTTGATCTTCCTCCTTTTCGAGCTTACGTTCCGCACGAGTCCTTGGCTTGGATTGAAGGATCGATCATAGTAGCCAGTGTGGGTGTCAATGCTATAGCATGGGTCAGACACTGGAGTTCCGCTAAAGCCGCTACTGCTCTCCTCTTCTTCCGTTGCGAGACTGTCAACGTCATTAACGTCGCTGTCCGAGTTGTCCTCTTCTAATACGGCTTTTCTCTCCCCCTTCTTCATCTTTCTCGCCACTTTCTCAACACCGACGTTGTGGTTAGCATCCTTCGTCTTTCGGGACTGGTGCTTGACCCTCGGCAAAGATGCAGGAGAAGTGCTCCCCGGGCTCGAGCTTACTCCCGCGGCTTTTCTCCCCTTCTGCCGCTGTCTGTCTGGGGTGCGTGGCGATGCGTTCTCGTCTTCTGTTTCCTCTTTACCACATGTGGAGCGAGTCTGTGTGGGTGATAGGAGTATTTATCATTCAACCATCCTTTCTGAGATGCTTCCATGGCAAAGAATTCTGCAAATAAATGTTGTTAGGTTAGGCTAGGCTATCTTTTGTTTGATTATAATAGGTTTGCACTTTTACATTAGGTTATCCTAGGTCAGATATGGTTAGGTTAAGTTTGAACAGCTTGCACCAGGCTTAGCTTAACTAGTTCTAAAGCTAAAAATAACTATTTTCATATAGTTATTGTACAGTATTCCTGAATCTAAACTATACCTTACGTATAACCAACAAGTGTATGCTATAACAAAGAACTTGTTTCACGATAAAATTTCATGAACTTCTAAGGACAATCATATATTACAGAACCTCATTTCTAGCAAAAAAAAAAGTAAAAGGGAAAAAGAAAGAAAGAAAAAAGAAAAGAAAAGAGAAGAAAAGAAAAAAAAATGCAGGATCCATGCAAAGGCCACTCGAAGTATGACTTCTCTAGTTCCTGAGATAGTGTGCCAAGGCCAGGCAAGGAGGATTAAGGATTAATCTTAGACGAAACAAATATAATTACAAATGACAATAACACAAATACCAATTTCCCTTCTTGTAGTGTGGATGAATTAAAATGTTGATAACTAAAAATGAAAATAAACTCTTAACTGGGATCTGCATCATCCAACAGACAGATAGTGGATTTTAATTTAATTTAAAGTCATTAATGTCCTTTATTGCCTCACCTTCTGTCCCTTTGCAGGACATGAAAGTATCTGTCCCATGTCGACCTTCCTGCTCCGGGTGATCAGGACTTCACTATCAGAGGAAGTGCTCTCGTCTAAAAGTGGCCTTCTCTTTCGAGGTTTTTTCGTCCTTGTTTTTTCCTGAGAGACATCCTTGCTAACAGGACTGGAGCCTGAACTCCCCAACTGCTTGTCTTGCAACTGACCCTTCTTGCTTTTCTTTTTATTCTCTGAGGCAGAGCTGCTTGTGTCTCCTTTGGTTCCATTGATCTTATTTTTCTTGACTGTTTGGACTGTTTCTTCCTCACTAACAGACCTCCTCCTATATGCCTCCCCTTCTGAAAAAAGGATTGTAGAACGGTCACTTTCTTCTCCAGAGCTCTCCGTTTCTGCCAGAAATGGACTAAGCAAAACCTTTGTGATCTCCTTACCCTCAACTAAGTTTTGGGGCTTTTGAGCCAGATGTGTATCCTTCCCAGCGTCTTGATATGTATGGGAATCAGTTGTTGAGGGGCAAGTCTGAAATACTGAATCTTCTGCTGATGAGTCAGCCAGTTCCACATCATCATCATGACAGGAAGTTCCCTTTCCATTATTCTCTCGACCTGAATCTCCTCCTGAATTGTGAGTTTTGGCATTTTCTTCAGAATTCTTAGGTAAGCCGTCTTTTGGTAATTGATCCAACTGCAAAGCATCTCCACCTTCATTACGCTTCGATTCTGCAACAGCCTGCTCCTCCCATGCAACTGAGCTTGACATCTCTACGAGGTAGTTTGCTATTTCCTCGGCCTCTTTCTCTGTGAACATGTCATTATTCTTTTTGGTTTTGACCGGGTTACTTGTACTTTCAGAGCTTTGGACTTCTGCATTAACAATCTGATGAGTCAGTCCATCATGGCTACAGGAAGAAAGAACTTTAGTAAATATTCTTTCCCCATCCTGTGCCTTATATTCATCATGTGTGTTCTTGTGCAAATTTCCATTGGGTGCCCCTCCACTTCGGCCTTTCTCCTGCTTGTTCTCAGTACATGTTGCTTCAGTCTCTTCCTCATTTTGAGACTTGTCGGGTAATGATCCTCGAGACTCTTCCCAGTCTTCGGCAAGTTCTTTCAGATAGCTAGCCGTTCGCTTTGGGGGGTTCTCAAACTCACCATCTGCCAGAACAATTTCAAACGCCTGTGTGCTGTTCGCGACTCCAGCGTCAAACGAGGCTACCTGACGTTCCACCTCCGCATACGCACCGTCATCCACTCCTTCTTTTACCCCTTTTTCTTCTGCCTTCTCTTGATCTTTATCTTCAGCCTCTTCCTCATCTTCTATGT